CCCTAGTAACGTAGTCAATCAAAATGCAGGATTTGCATTAGTCCACTAGTTGGGTGATGCTGATAGGCGATAGTTGCTGAGGCTGAAGGCCTTGTCAGCAAGATATATTATCACCTCATAGAAATCTAGAATTTATGATATAAGTGTTAAATTGCAATGCACTGTGACGTCAGTCAACCCAATGTCACTGTATTTCGCGCCGGTGAGATTTTCCTTAAAACTCGTTCGCGAAGCAGCAGAAAGTGTCCCATGGAACTCTTCTTAGATACAAGTTTGAGCCTGTTAGAATAGCAAAGAAAACTACAGCAAGGTGCACCAAATTACATCAGAGACGACGGGAAAGTTACTTTGATCACATTACCACGCGTCTTGTGTCTACTGACTTCGGGTTTCAAAATATTTCTAATAGATAAAAAATTAAAACAAATTATAATTTCTTTTTGTTCAGGAGGTGACCCGTTTCCTGGTGTGTACATGAGAGAGATTCCTGCCTTGTTAAAGGAAGGCTACCGGATGGCATGTCCAAAATTTGTCAGCCCAAAACTGTACGTACATTCTTGTGTTCAGTAGAACTAGCTACGCTAAGAGAGAGAGGTCCATTTCTCTATTTTCCAACACTCTGTTTGCCCCATAAAGTTTGCAAAAAAATTTTCTTCGTGAAATACCCTTGGGAATATCACGACTTCCCAAGAGCATTTTACAACAATAGTTTATGCAAAATTTGGGGAGCAAACAGAGTGTATTATGTGGAGTTGGAAAATAGAGAATAGGTTTAATTGATAAAATCTCCCATACTAAACAGGTACAACATTATGATGCAATGCTGGAAGAACAATCCCTCTGAAAGACCGAGCTTTGAAGTTCTACGCTCCCTGTTACACGGCATGATCAGGGACGAAGAACAGGTTAGAATTAGTGGATAAACGGCTTACTGTTCGAACAATTGCAACATGTAAAAAAGAGCGGACGACCGACCTCACTAATGAAGCATGGTCAGTTTGGCAGAGAAAGAGACTACCTGAGCATTTCTTAGAGCTAAAAGAAAACAGCTATTATAAGGAAATGATCCCAAGGCGTGATTATAAACCAAGTGATGAAAACAATGGCAATCCAGTTGGTCTTGGTATGGTGATTGTCCATATATTGATTGATGTGGAAATATACTCCTGACTGGAGCTGTAGTTATATCTTCAGGATTTTCAGCGCCATGAGAAGAACTGTTCGCTCTATGATATATGGTGATTACTTCTGTATGGTTTCCTTGCTAATCTGATTGATCAAATTTTTCGTAAGGTATCAAAACTGATTGGTTTGTTCTTGTCGAACTTTTTTCCTACATTTCAAAGGTAAACGATTAAATTGTTGTCAAGAACTTAGAACTTAAACGCTGCTATTGTGTTTTGGCGTTAATTGTTTGACAATTCCTTTTTATCACATCATTCGTAGGTAAATAAGTAGTAGGAAGGGAAGAAAATACAGGTAAAAGAAGTGGGAAAACTGTCTTAATCCTTTTAAATTTCAATTTCTTCCTTCTCCATTCCAGATCGTACCCGCGGTACATACCGTAGAATGCTACACACCTTAAACCTGGTATTAAGCGTAGTAGTCTCGCTCTATATTTTTTTTATATTTCTTTGGTTATTTTTGTTGGTTAGGAATATGTCAACTTGGCGCAGTTGTTATACGAAAATGTTCTGCCCAGCGGCTGCTCGGAAGATTAGATAAATGGAAACAGAGGCCCACTATCAACTGATATGGAGCACATGGTTTTCCTAGTAAACATTACTAGTTGAAGAGAGAGAAGAGTTGTCAATTGAATTAAAATTGCAAGGAAGACTAAGGTTATTCTCTACATTGCTTGTTAAACCTGCCACCGAGTCTATGCCAGAAAAGCTGGCTGTGATTGTTGCGGGCTTCGTTACTCTTTTTACGAGGAAAACAGCCAGAAATGATAACGTAACAAATTTTAATAGGTAAATGAATTGAAAACAGTATTATAATTGTTTTTGTATTCATTACCGAGTTCTCTGACAAGTTCCGTCAGCAAGCATTGTCTGCAAGTTACACCATACATTAGGTGTAAACTGCCATTTGCGATTATTTTTTAAAGCACTAGTCAACACTTGTTGTAATTAAATTGAGTGTGGCCGTTAAAGTTGCACATAAAAGTATATATTATATTATCTATATTTTCACTCCAGAATTCTAGTTTAGGTGTCCAAGGCATAGGGCCGAACGAGATGGTGGGTGGAAAAGGCTAAATAAGAGTTGATACTTGTATGAAGAGGACAGTTTTATGTATTACAGACGTAAAACAAGCAAGAACTGAAAGTATTGGTGCTATTAAGAAAATGATGATAATTGAGCAACCAATTTATGGTTTGTTGCGATGATTATCAGTAATCCTCATAACTTACTATTAGCGATAGAATACAGGTATACGTGTTGCAATAGCAAAAAGGCCGGAAAATAACTCCCTACCTGTTGATTGCAGTAATCGAGGACAACTGCATTGTGTTACTTGATATTGAGTATGTATTCAATCTTGCTAGATCTCGCGTTGTTCAACTTAACACCAAATTTATATAAAATTTGAAAACAGTCAAATTCAGAAAACCTGAGACTACCACTACCTCTCTCATTCACACAAAGTTTTACCGATAATCTCATTCACCTCTTTCTATGACATGAAAAAAATCAAACTCTTTTGGCAAACTTTGACTTCAAAATTTCTGTTGATACCACAGAAGTATCCGATGGACAACACCGTATTTCTGGGACTGAAATTTGATACTTCGCAGTTTTCTCTCCAAGTAAACCTCTGTTTTCTTTGAGTGAAACACTACATATGGTGCTGTAGGTCTCACAAAAAAATCCACACCTAACAAAGTTTCTGGTAATACTTAATCACAATATAATATTGAAACCTACGTGGATCCAATTTGAAAAAATGGGTTCCTGTAATCTCCATCTTTAACTCTAACTAGACCGTCAGTGCTTTCATAAGTCGCACTACAGTGGAACCTCCCGTAAGCGACCACCCAAAATGTCAAGCCTAGGTTATCGCTAACGAGAACTTAGACCATATCGGGTCACAATTTTGCCTCATTAGCATAATTATGGTAAGACTTACCCCATTCGGCATTGCCCATCTAAACCCATTTAATAACTTTTAGAAGCCACAAAGCTGTTTAAGCTTTCCAAAATTAGGTATTCAGAGTATCAGGGTTCGTTTCTGATAAATTACCTAATAAGGCGAACGGAACAAGTCTCACAATAGTTACAATTGAATCTTAAATGCTGTCTAACCGTAAGGGAGAACTGAACATGAACTAATAAGGGTTGGATTGCTAGCTTAAAATTTGACAGTCCTTTTATATCACTGGTGACTTACATATTAACAAGCGTAACAAAACACTCGACCTAGACCCCAAAAGAGTCCATACTTTTTGTGTTGGTTGGTCGTACGATTGCACGAGGTGTTCCGGAATAATTATCCTGAACAGTTAAAAGAAAACAGTATTACAACTTAGAAAGTAGCTTTTTTTTAAAATTGAAAATTAAGAACCAATGAAACTTAGTTTTTCTTTTCTTATCCTGTTAATTTTTTTGTCAATATAGTATTACTCGATAATATTTAGTCATGCAAGTCTCCTGAGTATTCATAATATAACTGAAAGTAATGTTAGAATTGTAAGTAGATTATTACTGTAAGTCAGTTTGCGGTATGGTAAGTAATGCGGGTACTGCCAACTTGCTGGTAATGTTAGTATTGTAAGTAATATTAGTATTGTAAACAACAATGGTGTTGTACGTAGACCAGTAAAGTTAAATATTCAAGAAATGAGTACAATCTTCAACGAACCAAACCCCTTTAACTCCAGTTTCAATGGGATCACCTACATAGCTGGACCAGAATAATATAGAGAAAGGATTGTTTTCATTACTGAGACTAACAGAACCAACAAGGCCACTCTTCTTGTGTAGATGTTTGCGGAACTAACAATATTGATTTATCTTTCCCATAAATCCTTCAAAGTAAGCCGTGTTGAATTGTAACTTAACACGATATATTGTTGCTGAATAAAAGGTATCTCGGCAGCTCTAGTTACGAACTGTGTGGATATCACGTTAGTTTAACCTGGGAGTTAACAAAATATACAACAGGCAGAATTATTATCAGGTATGGACACTGATATTAATATCCGAGGGTTCTAATAAGCTCTAGGGACAATAAGTAACCTCAGGCACAGAAACAACAGAATTTGCAATGTCTTCAAAGTCAAAGAAAATAATATCTTGTTGCCCAGAGAATAGTGCCACACCATTCAAGCACGCATACAAACCCCATCCTCGCTCATACAAACCCCAGCCGCTGCCAGGTGCCTCCGTCTGTGGTGCAGTGGTGTCAATTAGGCTGTGTAAACGTAGTTGCAACAGATCTGATGTTCCGCTTTTGAGTTCCATTTCAGAAAGATTAGCTTCCCAGTACTAGCTGTGCTGATTGCAAAGGGATAATCATATAGTCTCGTTTTCTTTGAATCGTTAATTTTATATCTATCTGCTGCGGGACAATTTTCATCGTAACAAAGATGTCCTTTACTGAGTTTAGAAAGTCTAGTTTCTTGGTAGTAATTTTAAGCAGTGGTTCCTGTCTTCATTATTTATTGCTGCAGCTGTCAGCAATCTATGAAGAGTATCCCCAACTGCCGGATTGGGGACAGTTCTCAAATTCCTCAATGTCGTAAGAGTACTATTTTAAACATCTAAAGGAATATGACAGATGCAAAGTTTTTCAATACCTTAATAAGAGAAAAACATGACACATCTTTTTATTAACTCTTAGCTTACCTAGAACGAGGAAATGGGAACAAGTGCAATTAATCTAAGGTTAGCAAAAAGAGGAAAATGGAATTCTCAATTTCAGACATTAGATAAAAAGTTTAAAAAAAGAAGATGGGTTTTATGGATTGTTTTCAATGTTTGTTTAAAAAAAGCTGTTGTATTCCATGCTGCTTTTTACTGTTTTGTGCAGGTGCAAATTTTTAGGCGGAGAGGAGGGAAACGTATCGCAAAATAACTCGCTCGTCAGCAAGTATAGATGAAGTGCGGCGGCATACAAAGACAACATTTGTGCTCTGGGAATGGTTCGGTTATTTGAAAGGAAACAGTTGATTAAGCAGCTGGTCTAAATTTTTGCAAAATCAGACATTTTTGCTTTCAATTTTAGGAAACAAGTCAGAAAGCACGTATATATATATATATATTTCCCAATCGATAAATTCCTAAAGTCATAGAATTGCTAAGGTGTTGAAAACACTGAAACAAAATGAACGCAACGGACGACGTGTCCATCAGTTGTCGATCAAGGTCGATCAGTTTCGATCAACATTCATGTCGGTGATTTAGTTATACAGCGGTGCAGCTATGACTGAACATGTGCAAACTGAAATAAGCAGTTGTCTTAAACGCAGCGTACACTGTGTCAATTGCGCTGTGTTAACATGGAGCGAGTTATTCCTGATGTATTTCATTTAGCCAAAACGTACACATGCGCATGGAGTAACTGGTTCCTAATACTTGAAAAAACTATGGTACGTTTTCAGCGGTAAGTTTTACCTTGGATAAAAAAGCAAAACTACTTATCAGACCTTGCAGGAAAGCACGAATTTAAACATCTTCGAAAAAAGATACTGGTTCACAGCAATTAAAGGTATTAAAACACACTTGAGTGACCTGTATGCCGCCACTATGTTGGCTTACAAACCTTTTCAGGACACCAAGATAGCGGCTATATACACAACGAAGCATTTAAAAATTTTGCTGATGAAGTCAAATTAAAACCACTCTATTCTTTGAAAACAAGAAACAGTTTAACAAATAGATTCCATGTTGCCTTACATCTGTTCAGTAATAGATCACAAATGACGTCAAAATGTGGTAGGAACAAATAAGTGGCTCACCAGGCGATAGCTGACTGTGTCACTGATGTTCTTACCACATCTTTGACATCTTCTGTGATCTATTACTGAACAGACACACGGCAACATGAAATCTATTTGTTTTATATAATAAAGAAACAACAGAACAAGCTTTTTCATTTTAAAATCGTTCCACAAGACTCGAAAGCCGGCCTTTGCCCACATTGGCGAACACGAGAAAAAGCCATTTGACGTAATCTATTGTCTATACAAAATGAAGCAATCTCATTGGTTGCTATGCATAGCAAAGAATTGTGATTGGTCCAGGAAAAGCAAGCCACCGTCAAAATCGCTACTCGTGGAATGAAAACTTACAGCGAAAGCAGAATTGAACTGCGAAATATACAAATCATAAAGAAAATGTCATCAGGGCAGAAAAGCTTGGATGTTGTCTCAAATATTGCAGGAGTTGAAAAAATACGCTTGGAAAACTTGTGGTTGTGGTCAACACTGGAGGCCATTCGATTCGATTTTTGGATGAAAAGAGCGTTAGCGACGGTGAAAATTTGTGTCCTCTGTGGTTGGTGATTCTCAGATCAGTTTAATATATTGTTGGAGACACCTTATAGCTGGGATACAGTTGACCGTGAGCTGTAGTGAGCTCTACTTTTCTCTCTACTGTGCCCTGAAACGGACAGGACTTAAGCATATGTGTTTATTTAAACTGATGATGTTTTGATGATGTTTAATTCCTGAAATAAAACTGTGTCAACAATCATTTTGAAACTGAGAAAAGTTAAATTTTTAAATGAATTAATGGTATAAGCATTTTGCTTATTGGTTTTGTTAAATTCGAGACAAAGCAATGGTTTCTTACCTTCAAGTAATTTCAAGACCAATTTTGTGTTTGGTTTGGTCTCGCTTGACTGCGACTGAGACTGCTCGAGTATTTTTTCTGAGTCATTTTCTAGAAAAGAAACGGCTTTTTCTTTCTTCTTCTAGACTCGCGTGCCTGTTCAATGCCTCGACAAGACTTTTTTGTGCCTTATCTTTCCCCAGTCACGTAAAATAGCATCTAAATTCTCAAAACTTTCCGCCATTTTAAACACAGAAGGAAAAACTTTGAAATGATGACGTTAATCGTGCGTCTGTCCTCTAATAGATCATAGGCGAGAACCAATCAAACTGCGAGAATAACTTGGGTTATGATATAAAAAATCATACCACCACATATTCTGAAAACTGACAAACGGGAAGTCTAGAACACAATTAGATTTATTGCAAATACACAAAAAAGCGAAATTTCAAAAACCATCATTTCGAAACGTTTTTAAGAACCAAAAAAGGAATATATATTTATTTGGAATGTGATCCAACTTGGCTATTATTCAAATCAGATGTTTCATTTTCAACAGTTGAAGTTTGAAGTATCCTTTGTGATGCTGATCCCGGTCGATCAATCCAAGAAAGCTGTAAAAAGGTATTTACTTCTGGTGGCCAGCTTTTCAATGTAGAAATTGAGTTTAACTCAGGCACCAAGTGGGCCATCTTCAACAGACAAGTCCAAGGAGGGTTTCTTTTAATTACTTCACATCTTCATCAGCTCAAGATGATTGTTATCTTCCATGTTTTAACCACCTTACTTTTGATGGTTTGTAAGTATACTGGAATTTTGATCTCAGTTAAACATCTTTATCGAGTAAAAATCGCATCGTCAAATTAAAACAGGTCAAGGCAGTATCACAAATATTTTATGCAAAGCGGTTGTGTTTTTGCAGTATTACATAAACAGACTGGTTCTACTGCATTCAGTAGATTGCCCTTTGTGTTATAGTGGTTTTCTTCACTATAATGCTAAGCAGGGGGAGTGGGGCGGGGGGGGGGGAAGGAGGGCGTTGTAATGACCAAGGCTAACTGGTTAGATTAAAACACTTCACCTATATTGATCGGACAACAGTAACAAAAAAAGATCAAAGCAATGTCCGGCGCGCGCAACGTGAGTCTCGAAACCAAAAACTGCGATATCAGAATGATTAAACCAAAGTATTCATTAGCGTAGTTACGCTTGTTTGTTCTTATTGGTTCGTTTTTTTTGTTTGCAAAACGCACGCCCAGCTCAGATAATGGGGTGAATGCGATATCGCACAAAATTATTAGGGGTTCTAATTTTTGCACACAACATCCCAACACTCGGTTAATGAAGAGCGGAATAACAAGTGTTAAATCCCAAGCCATGTTGTTACTGCAATTGCACCGGATCGGACTCGCTGAAAAGGGAAACAAAGGCATTCCCTGCATGAAAAACTTGCCACTCCTCATCGAAGAAAGTTAGATCTCACGAGACACTACCCTGGTCCCGCTTTGCTGATCACATTTGATTGAAAAGTAGAAAAGGGAAAACCAAGGCTGGAAGCGGGGTTACGAAGCTCAAAAGAATTGTCAATGCGAAAAAATTTTTAAACACCTAAAGCCAAGTGCAAGAATCTGTAGTATAAATACCCGGCTCAACAACCAATCAAAAGCCTCTCAGCATGGTTTATATTTCTTAAAAGTTTTAAGTAAAAGTTTTAAGTAGCATTAGTAATTGAATTTTATTCCAAGTGACGCTAGTAATCGTAGTGTAAGTTAGTTGTCGTATTGTACTGTAAGTAGTGTAAGCATTTGTATTTTTAGTAGCGTAAGTAATGTATGTACTGCATTGTAAGTAATATAAGTAGTGTAAGCCTTTGCATTGTAAGTGACGGAATTAATTAAATTGAATACGAAGTATTATAAATAATGTAAGTATATCTATTAGTCTTGTAAGTAGCGTAGCTGAATAAGTATTGTAATCAGTGTGTGTAACAATGCATAATAATAA